ATTTGAAAATTACAACTTTTTTCACATGCAATCTAAAAAATTGACTTCAAGACAACTAACAAATTAAAAACAATTCAAAAGCTGTAATACTATAGACTTTTTTCTCTCAGCTTTTTATGACAAACTTTAAACCAATACATTGAAATAAAGACTGAATATATTTATTCAGTTTCAGTTGAACTGCATCCTTTTCCAGCTTCATTTCTAATCTTTACCTCTCTCTCTTCTGCTTCCTAGCTTCATCACCCTCTTTCCATAATGACTCCTTTTTAAATAATGTTAATAAAAGTGTACATCTTCAATATTTTGTCCTTCAGCAACAGGCTCTGTAATGCTTCTCTCTCCCTTTCTCTTCCAGCTTTTTGTCTTTACATGTCTTGTGTTTGTACTCCTGATACTTGGATAGCTCTATCACATCACATTTCTATTGCTGTTTTATTTTATACTACCTCTCTTAGACTTCCATTACTTTTTTGCAAAATAGCACATTAGTGACCTGCTGCTTTCAGCTTCGTGTCAAGTTTCCTGCTGTCTTCTCTGCTTGCAGCAGCCACCCACTCCTTTTGGATAAAATACACTGTCATCTTTGCAGATCCCAGTTATTTCACAAAATACTACAGCCTGTATAACCACCACCACCATGGTGCTGCTGTCCTCTGCCCCATGGACTGACAACAATGGGAACACTATGAGAGGCTCCTGTGTTCAGTTTTGGGCACCCCACTACAAGAAAGACATTGAGGTGCTGGAGCAAGTCCAGAGAAGGGCAAGAAAGCTGGTGAAGGGGTGAGAGAAAATGGCCTCAAGTTGTGTCAGGGGAAGTTTAGATTGGATATTAGAATAAACTTCTTCACTGAAAGGGCTGTCAAACACTGGAACAGGCTGCCCAAAGGAGTTGGTTGAATCACCATCACTGGAGTTGTTTAAAAGATGTGTAGATGTGGTGCTTAGGGACATGGTTTAGTGCTGGATTCAGTCAAGTTAGGCCAATGGTGATCTTAAAGGTCTTTTCCAACCAGAACTGTTCTGTGATTCTGTGATTTTTTGTCTCTTTGTGTCTCTGAAAAATTGTTCTCCTATGAGGTTTGGTCACGCCAAACAGTGCTTTAGCACAAATTCAAAGCAGTTGAACATTCAAAGCATGCATTTTAGTTGTCTACTTGTAAGGGAAATAAATAGTTTTACTGCTTTCTTCATGACACATGTGAGGCTATTCAGTGTCAGATGAAGGTAAACATCCTCTGCCCTTTCAGAAATATGTATGACAGATGGTACCTGATTAGTCCTTGGAATTTGGGTTGCAGACTCCAGTTACATTTCAACAAGTCACTCTGGAAAGAAATGAGTGTGCACTTGTCGGCTGCATATCCTGAGGCTCTGAGCTTCTAGTGCAGTAGTGAATCTGTCAGAAAATGGCTGATGATCACATCAGGAGTTCTTGAACTTGCCTATATCAACTGTCACTTCATATAATTAGTTATAAATCAAGTAATACACGTGTGCCAATACTGAATGGGTGTTGCAACTAAATAGTATTGACTCTGGAGTAGAGCAATACATCCTTACCTATAAAATAGCCTTTTTGGTGGCTATAATTAAATGTAGCCAGAGAAGAAACTGCTGAAGGGGAGAAAACTTTTAAGAGCTTTAAAATTAATATAATTACAACCTTTAGAAAAGTAATGTGTAAGTAATAGGCAAAAATAATTGGATTGAATTTCAGAAGTATCTTGCTTTATTAATCTAATTGCCATTTTTCAAAACCTGGGATTTTTAATGGTATTTAAGTGCCAACATCATGAATATACTCCAGAAATGTTTACTTTCAACAGTTTGTGTGGTAAATAAGGGGACAGACACCGCAGTGTAGTGTAGTATAGATTGTTATTCAGTGTAATTGATGTAGATGTCTAGTACAGATAAGTACCTCAGCATTTTTCCAACAAACAGGAACTGCTAATACATCTGGTCTGGTTTTGGTTGTTGGTTGCTTGATTAGGGTGGTTGTGGTTATTTTTCAGTTTCTTCTTCTGTACTGTTTTTTACTGTCTTGATGAAGTTTAAGAGTTCTGCTGATGTAGCACTACATATATTGAAGTGACATTCAGGCAGGGGATATTTGCCGTAGAGACAATAAGCCTATGAACTATTAGCAGGAGTAATTTTTAAATCTCACATTTTGTGTCTTACACTTAAAGATAACAAGAGGGAAAAAAAAAAAAAGAGTGCTTTTCCTTAAAAACCTATTCTTTCATGTTTGTTTAGTTGCTCTATCACTGATTCGCATGGGAAGGGTCAGCCTGACCTTAAGGTTTTGATGGTTTATGGAGGTTATAAAACCTATTTTTTAACCTTTCTTATAGCAACTCACAGGGAGGTTTTATTTTTCTTAAAACTGTCTTAAAAATACATCTTGTAAGTCTTCTGAATCATTTTTGGACCATAAACCCAAAAATTTTAACAGAAAGGAAGCTGTGGCTAAATTTAAAGTATTTATGAGAATTGTTTGCTTTATTATTCAGAGTTGATTGCTTTCTCTTGCATACTTTCTCATTTTAGGAATTGTTTGGGAGTTGACCAAATCTCCTGTCACTTTAGCTGTGGGATTATAGGACTTTTTCTGAAATGGGTAATTTGGGATAGGTTGTGCACAACCTCTCTCTAGGACTGCACTTGTGAAGCACCTTGCTGCTTTTCTGAGTTGAAGGAAGAACTTCCATCTGCCAGGATTTCCCAGTCACTCCTTTCCTACAAGAACGAGTTCCAGGAGTTAAGCCCTAAGTTTTGCTTACCCCTCAGGAATGGTTGTCTCACTTTTGTGCGCCAAGGACACCAGCTACACATTATAAAACGTGTAACAGCATTGTCTACCCTGATACTAAATTTTAAGGTTTTACACTTTTTGCCTTGACTCCATTCATGATACAGCTAGAAAGATTAAAATCTATTAATAAACTCTTTGCAGTTGCAGAGTATGAGGTGCAATTTGAGATCCAAATAGAAATTAAGCACAAACTGAATTACTTTCTTAGGAACTTTGATATCCTCCAAATAGATGTAACAGAGTCAAATATTTGTGTCACTTCTAAATGAGTGAACCTTGGAAAGCTTCATCAGTTTATGAATTTTAAAGTTACTACTTTTGCCGTTTCTCATGTGAGTGTTGTGGAAAGAAGTTGTCAGTGTTTCTACTTAGAAATCTGAAGCCAACTTCAGTAAACTAAATTATGGTTCCATAATCCAAATTTCATTGAATCAGGAATTTTTTTTTCATGGAAACTGATACAATCTTGCTTAAATTACAACGTCTTTTGGGAGAAGAATATTTCATAGAAGGAAGAAAAAAATGGTAAATCTTTAGTGAAGACTCAGGCATGAAGATGTGTCCTTTTAAGACTATAATATCCTTCTTATCACTGAGAGTAATATTTAAGTATAAAATTATATGTTCCCAACCCTCCTGCATAAAAACATCAGAAGATAGTATCATGGTCTTTAGACTGTTGGCTCCTTCGATGGGATCAGAGAAAAAAAGATTAATTTTAGTCTCTTACCATTTACACACACTAATTACACAAAAATAATGGTGTTACTGGAGTAAAATGTGCTTTATCTGTCATTTAAACATTTAGGTTGGCATCTATTTGGAATTAAGTCGTACTGTCAAGTGGCTTTTTTAAATGTCAGTGACGATGTTTTCTCCTCCTTGAAGTTATTATTTTTGTGTAGACTGGATTATAGAACTACAATATTTATTCTTTTGTTTCCAATGCAAGCTTGGTTTATTACTCATTTTTTCATTGCTTTGGTTTTGGATTTTGCAGAGTCTTCTAATAGAAAGTTTCCTAAAAGCTTGGGTTCTGAGTAGGAAGGTAAAAAATGCAGTGACCTACATTTTATAGTAGTTTCTGCAAGTATAAATAGGGTGCATGGGTTTACACGTTAAAGGCATTTTTATTAATATATACATCAGGTTTTTGGAGTCATATGTTGTTATCTGATCTCAGCTTTCATTAAAATACACTTCTAGACTTTAATACATGAGCTTAAAAAAAGAAAAAACTACATATAATTTATTCTCATGTGAAATCTCAATTTAGGCATCTGAAGAAAACTTGAAAAATACTGTGTAGAACACACAGTGTTAACTCAAGACCCGTGAAAGCTGCCACTGCTGTTCTGTTGGGATTGATTTGGGTTTAAGTCATGTAGCCAAAAAGAGCAACTGTCAACAGAATCCCTCTGAAATTACTATCTGTCATCATGAGTTTTGCTTCTAATTGCTCTGAAAGGAAACAAAATCCTCTCTTGTCTTGGTAGTCCCTTAAAGAAAAATTAATTGCAGAGAGAAGGGCTTTCTTCCAAGCAGCAAATTTGCTTAGTTCAGGAAGGCACAATTTTCATTTTTCTATGTCAGTTCCTTCTTTGTGAAGTTTGGTATACATTACAGTCCTTGATATTTGGAATATTAAAAGCTGTCTGGATATGGTCTGGGGACTTGGGCCCTTGGTTGAGCAGGGGAGTTTGACCAAATG